CGGAGAGTCTGTTTGTCGTGCTCAACGATCGCCAAAATGTTTTCAACTCGATGTTGGATATTATCATCCAACTCTGACCGCATAGATCGCATTTCGGCCTTCATTTCTTCCTTGTCGGCCTTCCTATCGGCCTCCGCCTTTTCTTGGTAGGCGTCTAATTTTGTCAGCATGACTTCGGTTTGTTTCTGGTTGACGTCTAATTTTGCCAGGAAATCTTCTCTGTCTTTTTTCCGGTTGGCTTCCATTCTGTCTTCCATCCGCAATCGGTCGGCATCTGCTTTGTCTTGGTTTGTCCTAATCTCTTTCAGCATTTCTTCCTTCTCCGTTTTCATGCTGGCGTCTATCCTAACCAGCATTTCCATCATCTGCTGCATCTCCATTTTGTAGCAGTAAAGCACTTGATGCACAACAATTCGTATGTGGCGTGTTTAAGTTCGTAAAAATCCTGACACCAAATTGTCACGTGTCTTGAGTTCTAATCTCGTTGATCACGTGTGTAAGTTCAAATCCTGTTGGTCACGTGTGTAAGTTCGTATTCCACTTCTGACACCAGTGTAACATGTTTTGCGTTACTGATCCCACTTCTGACACCAGTTGTCGCGTATTGGGCGTATATTGCGACAAATAACTTCATGATGTATTTGATGTAGCGAATTTTATTTCACATCCGCTCTCACAATCACCCAAATTACAATCTGACGATTACTGCTATCTGCAGTATCACAATTAGTACACTCCAAATGCCACAATACAACTGGCTGGTTGCTGGCTAACTCGGAACTAACTCGGAGGTAGCTCGAGGACTTACTGACTGACTCAGTACAACTCTGCGGTAGCCACCCTAGAACTGACTCGTACCAGCTGTGCAGCTCACTTATATAGCTGCAGTGCTTGCCGGTTGCATAATGAGTGCCACGTCATCCTGTTACGCCACCACTTTTGACTCGCCTTGCATAGTTACCAGGTTGCGGGGGCTCGGCTATCTTCGGCTCCGCTTGGCTCTCTTCGGCTCCGCTCGTGACGTCACCGCGCATAGCTGCCAGGATGCGGGGTGATTACTCGCCTATTACGCGAG